TTCAAACCCACCAGCCCCTCCTCAGAAGGAAGATTGGGAAGTCTACTTCCACAGAGATATCACCTCAGAAACCCAAGGAGGGGTTGCTATGAGTCGGATCCAACTCGACAGCAGTGCATTGTGTTGTGAAGTCATCTATTTGTCTTTTCAATTCTGTTAAAATCTGATTTATGTATTTTGGGGCTCTTTCACTGGGGACATAGGTACTTACTGTAGTTATGTCCTCTTGTTCAATTGATCCTTTAATTGTTACATAATGTCCTTCCTTGTCTCTTATGGTGGTTTGTGTCTTAAAGTCAATTTTATTGAAATTAATATTGCCACCCCTGCTCTTTTTTTGGTTGCCATTTGCTTGATATATCTTTTTCCAACCTTTGATTTTTTTAGTCTATTTTTGTCTTGTCTCTAAGGTGTGTTTCTTGTAGACAGAATATTGATGGGTTATGTTTTCTTATCCAGTCTCAACTCTCCATCTCTTGAGTGGTGCATTTAATCCATTGACATTTATTCAGTGTAATTATCGGTAAGTATGAATTTGTTGCTGTCATTTTGTTACGTTGTTTTTTCATAGTGTTGCTGATTTCTTTGTCCCATATAATTTTCTGTGCTGAGATAATTTTGTTTATGAATCATGTTATCAATTTCTTCATTGCTATTGTTTTAGTATTTGCTAAATATTTATGCTTTTCCTCTTTATTGTGATATGAAAGTTTATCATTTCCTTTGAAGTTATCCTGTGATTTGTAATTTTCTTCCCAAGTTTAGAACAGTACATTCTATCTTACAATTGTCTTGACTTCCTCACCATTTAGAAATTCTGTACACTATTTTTCCCTCTTTTTGGTTTGTAGTTGTTCTCATTAGTCCATTGATATCTCTGGTTCCCTATTAAACAATTTTGTAGGCTTATTTACTTTGGATACTTCCATAACTAGGTTAGTTTCTAGGTTATGTCATCATGTGTGTTAATGGTCAGTTGTTGTTTGCTATTGTTGGTTCTCTGTCCAAAGGACTCCTTTCAGCATTTCTTGTAAGGTTGGTCTGATTTTAACAAATTCCCTTAAGTTCTGCTCATCTGGAAATGTCCTAATTTTACCATCATATTTGAGGGACAATTTTGCCTTGTATATAATTTTTCATTGGAAATTTTTTTCTTTCAGGGTTTTATACATACCATCCCATTGTCTTCTTTCCCTCAAGGTTTCTACTGAGAAATCAGAACTTAGTCTTATTGGTTGCCCTTGTAGGTAACTTTTCATTTTTCCCTTGCTGCATTCAGTATTCTTTGTCTTTGGTTTTGGTGAATTTTATGATGATATGTCTTGGTGATTTTCTTTTGGGGGTCTATCCTGTTTGGGGTTCATTGGACTTCTTGAACAGATATATTCTCATCTTTCATACTACCAGGGAAATTATCTTTCAACAAATCTTTGACAATTTTCTCTGTGGTTTTACTTGTCTCTTGCTGTCCTAGAATTCCAATTACACATAGATTATTCTTTTTTATGGTATCCCACATCAACATTAGGCTTTCTTCATTTTGTTTTGATTTTTTTTTTTCTGATTGATCCTTTTCCAAAGAAGTATTGAGGTATTTATCTTCAATCTTACTAACTCTGTCTTCCACTGATTCAATTCTACTCTTTTGCCCATTCAATGTGTTCTCTATTTCTAAGAATTTAGTATTAATCTTCTGGATTTCTATCTGTAGATTTTATATCACTTCTAATTTTTCATTTATTTTGTCATTTTGTTCTTGTATTGTCTTCCAAAATTATTCTAGGTTTTTTTCTATGTTTTTCTCATTTTTGTCAGTGTTTTCCTTGATTTGTCTCTCAATCTATTGAAAGTACCTACATATAATTCTTTTGAATTCCTTTATCAGGGAGTTCTAATGCTGCTTCTTCCTCAGGGATGTGTTCTGGGTCTGTATCCTGGTTCCTTGTTTCTCTTGCTTTATCTTGCTTCCTTGTGTGGACTGTGATTGTCTGTTGTCTCTAAGACATTGTGATGTTTTTGTGTTTATATTTAATTGGTGATTGTAGTTAGAATGATTTGCCCAAGAGGTTTTTTTTCTTTGGATGTTATCTGAGTAAGCAGGGTACTGTCCTCCTCTATTTGCTAGTTGGCAGCACTCATGCACTTACCACCTGTCTCCTTTCTAGTCATCAGCCTCCTATATGTCTGTGCTGTCCTTGGCAAGCCAAGCCTATTCTTAGGTCCCTGGAATCTGAATGAGAATGCTGTCATTTTAAATATCCAACATGACCACTGCTTGTAAACATTCAAAATGGCTGTCCCCTCCAGAAAGCCAGAAGTCCACAGCTCAGTTTGTCTCCATTGCTGTTTCCCTTTTCAGTCATCAGCCATAAGCATGGTTGTCCATACAGCCCTTAGCAACCAGGGCCAATTTTTAGGTCAATTCTCAGGTCCTAACACCATTTGGAAATATTAAGGCTGTCTGTGCCATCAGGATAGCTGATAGTCTGCAGCTCCATTTGTCTCTTTACTTACTGTTTTCATTCCGGTTCTTCTACTAGTTGGTGTTTAATCCATGTCTGTATCCTTCCTTTCAAAGCTCAGCGCTCCAGGATTATCTTCTGAATCTGTGTCAACTGGTTTCTCTTTTCTTTGTTGAAGAGGGTCTGTGTAGCTTGTCTGCCTATTCTACCTCTTATTGGAAGTCCCTACTGGAAATTGTTTTAAATGAATTCAAAAAAAGATTACTTCTTCAATATCAAAATCCAGAATTGGACTTTTTAGAACGATACTGAAACACTGCTGTATCATTAATCCTTATTATGAGAAACATCTAAAAGTTATTCAGTATATTGATTACCTGTCATAAATAATCAGTATAATGTCTTGGAAATATAATTGGAGAACAATGCTGGATGTGAACCCCAATGCCACAGATTATTAACCAAATTTTATACTGCTCTATCATCCTTTATTTTGTGTTAAATTTGCACATTTTGCTATATGCTGATTATCAAGATAAAATAATATATTAAGTATAAAATTTTATATACAATGTAAGAAAGAAACTATCAGAGAAATAACAAGTTTTTCCAAGTAACCAGAATAACATAAATGGAATGAGAGCAGAGATTGTTACAGAGATGTGAACTATCTACAGACAATATCTAATCTTTTACTTCTTTGAGATTTAAATGCTTCTCGGAGAGTGGAAGGAACACAGAGCCCAGTCAGATGACCCAGGGTTTTGCCCTAGTCTGCCACTAACTAGCTGTATGAGTTTTGGCAAGACACTTATTTCTTTTTGCCTTAGTTTCCTCGTCTATAAAATAGAATTATATGCGTTATCATCAGGTAACTACTGTCTCATAGTCCATAGCTACAAAATGGTCTACAGGAAAAAAAACCTAGCATAGTATCATTACTAACTGATGATTATATTGCACTAACAATCATTAAATTCTTGATATAAAGAGTTCAACTTCATATTGTGGGTCATTTTTAACTAAAGATTCTTTCTGCATTCTGACTTGCCATATATTTTCATAGACACAGTGATGCTAGCAAATAACTTTATGGAAACAAAGGAATTTAAAAATTGAATTAGAACATAACCACACAAAGTCAGAACAAGAAGCTTAGAAATAGTGAAGTCCCTATATTTAAGGGTTTCTTTCTGAATTGATAGGTTTCCCAGAGTAGAAGAAAGCCCAACCAAATCCAGAAGTTTGGATATATGGTTACCAGACAAACAAGAAAAAAGAGTATAAACATTATTACCTGAAGGTGCTGAAGATCATCCTCCTGAACATTTTGTGATAAATTATATACCTTAATTAAGAAGTAAAGTTAAAATAAGAAAATAATTAGCATCATCCTAAGCACTTATTTTCTTAATTTCTGTTTTTCTAAATATCAATTATCCCAAAATCAAAATCTTGCATACATTCTTATATAATGCTATTTATAAGATCTTGACAGAGAACTAAAGGAAGCCTGAGAGACAATAAATGTACATGATCATAAAATTGTTCTAGAAATACAGCCACTTACTCTGGAGACAGAATATTAAAATTATCTCAAAAATATAATTTAACAATTACTCAACAAAATAACCTTTTTTTTTCAATTGTGCTTTGGATGCAAATTTACACAGCAAACTTGTTTTACATTCAACAGTTCACACACATCTGGTTTCATGGCCTTGATTACCATCCCCAACCATAAGAAACTCTCCTCCCCTCTTTACCCTGTGACCACTCCCTCCCTGTGCCCCTCTCATCCATGTATTCCTGTCTGTCTAGCCTTTCCTCTATGTGAATTTTATCCCTCTGGTGTCTCATGGCTGCTTGTTCCAAGGGGTGCATCTCCCTGGAGTAGGTGGGTGCATGCACCTGGGGTAGGTGTTTTGTACACGGGTCTTTCTACTGTTGGGTGGAAAGCCAACCCATGTAAGTGAGTCCATTTTCAGGCTTGAAGAGTAACCCAGGGCTATAGTCTCAAAGGTTCCACCAGTCTCTATCC